TCCTGTATGTTTTCATATCGCAATATATATCGCAGGGGGAAAAAAAATTGCAATATCAGTTTTTTCCAATATCGTGCAGCCCTAATACCTATATACAGTCGGGCAAAAAAGTATTTAGTCAGCCACCAATTGTGCAAGTTCTCCCACTTAAAAAGATGAGAGAGGCCTGTAATTTTCCTCCTACAGTAGGTACACTTCAACTATGAGAGACAGAATGGGGTGAAAGAATCCAGGAAATCACATTGTAGGATTTTTAATGAATTAATTAGTAAATTCCTCGGTAAAATAAGTATTTGGTCACCTACAAACAAACAAGATTTCTGGCTCTCACAGACCTGTAACTTCTTCTTTAAGAGCCTCCTCTGTCCTCCACTTGTTAACTGTATTAATGGCACCTGTTTGAACTCGTTATCAGTATAAAAGACACCTGTCCACAACTTCAAACAGTCACACTCCAAACTCCACTATGGCCAAGACCAAAGAGCTGTCAAAGGACACCAGAAACAAAATTGTAGACCTGCACCAGGCTGGGAAGACTGAATCTGCAATAGGTAAGCAGCTTGGTGTGAAGAAATCAACTGTGGGAGCAATCATTAGAAAATGGAAGACATACAAGACCACTGATAATCTCCCTCGATCTGGGGCTCCACGCAAGATCTCACCCCGTGGGGTCAAAATGATCACAAGAACGGTGAGCAAAAATCCCAGAACCACACGGGGGGACCTAGTCAATGACCTGCAGAGAGCTGGGACCAAAGTAACAAAGGCTACCATCAGTAACACACTACGCCGCCAGGGACTCAAATCCTGCAGTGCCAGACGTGTCCCCCTGCTTAAGCAGTACATGTCCAGGCCCGTCTGAAGTTTGCTAGAGAGCATTTAGATGATCCAGAAGAGGATTGGGAGAATGTCATATGGTCAGATGAAACCAAAATATAACTTTTTATTAAAAACTCAACTAGACGTGTTTGGAGGAGAAAGAATGCTGAGTTGCATCCAAAGAACACCATACCTACTGTGAACATGGGGGTGGAAACATCATGCTTTGGGCTGTTTTTCTGCAAAGGGACCAGGACGACTGATCCGTGTAAAGGAAAGAATGAATGGGGCCATGTATCGTGAGATTTTGAGTGACAACCTCCTTCCATCAGCAAGGGCATTGAAGATGAAACGTGGCTGGGTCTTTCAGCATGACAATGATCCCAAACACACCGCCCGGGCAACGAAGGAGTGGCTTCGTAAGAAGCATTTCAAGGTTCTGGAGTGGCCTAGCCAGTCTCCAGATCTCAACCCCATAGAAAATCTTTGGAGGGAGTTGAAAGTCTGTGTTGCCCAGCGACAGCCCCAAAACATCACTGCTCTAGAGGAGATCTGCATGGAGGAATGGGCCAAAATACCAGCAACAGTGTGTGAAAACCTTGTGAAGACTTACAGAAAACGTTTGACCTCTGTCATTGCCAACAAAGGGTATATAACAAAGTATTCAGATGAGCTTTTGTTATTGACCAAATACTTATTTTCCACCATAATTTGCAAATAAATTCTTTAGAAATCAGACAATGTGATTTTCTGGATTTTTTTTTCTCTCATTTTGTCTCTCATAGTTGAGGTATACCTAGGATGAAAATTACAGGCCTCTCTCATCTTTTTAAGTGGGAGAACTTGCACAATTGGTGGCTGACTAAATACTTTTTTGCCCCACTTGCACAAATGAGGTGTGTGTGTGTGTGTGTGTGTGTGTGTGTGTGTGTGTGTGTGTGTTGTTACCTGTGGCAGGCCGGTGAGGATGGTGGAGCGGCTGGGGGAGCAGCTGCTGACGGAGGTGAAGGCGTTGCTGAACACCAGGCTGCGCTGGGCCAGAGAGCGCAGGTGGGGGGTGTGGACCACAGAGTTGTTATACACCTCCGTCTCAAAGCCGGCATCATCAGCTGGAAGAGGGGGGGGAAAGCACATTCCTTAGCTCTTAAGCTCCCATGGCCATACAATAGTTACAAGTGTTCATCCCAATTTCTCAAACTCCAAGGTGAGTTCCTCAAATGTCTTGTTTGGCAGTCCACAACCCAGAGATAATCACTTGACTTTGAGAGAAAGGCAAGAAATCTGTGTATTTGATAGGCTGAAAACAGCATTTTTCATGTTTAGTTTAAAGACATACAGGAGTGTCAACATACTTTTGAACACATAGTGCAATTCATTATTCAAAGAGGTCTGTTAATGTGTCCACCCCATCTATATCCTCAAGACTAGATAGCAGAACTAACCTGGGTAATGCAATTTGAATGATTGTAGGACTGATGTGTAGACCCCTGGTAGACCCCCACATAATACAGACTGTGGAATCTTGTGCAATATGGACACTATGTTTACAATACTGTGCAATAATCACCTTTTTCTGAAAAACCTACATTGTGATAAAAGTCCCAACATTTTGTATAATGTCTCAACACCTAATGTGAACTTATGTCACTAGGTTCTAAAGTTGCTGCTCCTCATTTTTAGCCATGGATGTGAACGTATATGTCTTATATATGTTTTTATTCTATTATTACTAATGTGTGTATTTATTCTCTATATTTAATAAGCTAGCTTATTCTTTATTATTGTATGCCTTTTTGTACCTGCTATGACACTTTTTGCTGTAACACTGTACATTTCCCTGCTGTGGGACTAATAAAGGAATTCTGATTGGTCTTACTTAATAAACTGGGGACTGAGTATACTGTAACAGCACATTTTATTATAGCAGCTCAAAGGCATTTAAGTATGTAAACCTGCCACGACTTATCACTCGATGTAAATGTAAAAACTCACCAATTATTAGAAGCACATTTCTCCTCTTTGACTCCCCGATGCTACATGATGCCAAGAGGAGAAGATACTGAAGAAGCATGATGATGTTTAGCTTTCCTTACTGTTTCCCATTAAAACTTGCTTTCTACATCTCAAACTGTCTGCTGGTTTGGCTAGGAAACATGTAAAGTGCGTCTAAACAATTATATTCAATACATGAAGTAATTTATCATTTAAAACAAGTAGATAAAATGACTTCTAGCAGAACTGTTGGCTACATCACGGATTTGTTTTCCCGTCTTCCTTAAACAACGTAAGCCCCACCTACTAACGATCACATGACAGAGGTCACGTGCAAACAGAAAACAGGAACCGGACTGTCTCGCGCTCATGGCTCGCGCTTCGTCTTCAAAATGATATACATTTTAGGAAGTGGTTTCAGCAAAAAGGAACAAAAACGCGTTGTCAGCGAAAGTCCTGAAAATCACAGCTAAACCATGGACAAATAAAGAAGAGGACACCTCTTTAAGTAAGAGTTTCTATTTCCTGTTGTCTTGTTTTTTCTATTGTATTTTATTTGTTGCTGCTCTATTCTATTCTATTATTATACTTTGATCTATTATGTGGTTTTCCCCCCTGCTTTATTACTCTGTACTGTAATGTTTAGTGTTTTCTATCTTCGTTTTTTTTATCTATTCTATATTCTTCTCTGCTTGTTTTTCTCTATTTTCTTCTCTTCTATTTTCTGTGTCTATTTTATTATTTATAACTTTCCCTTTCTTCCACTAACACGGATTTTTTATTTAAATCAGTCATGTTTTTCTACTTTTTCAATGCAACAGCTTATTGTTGATATGTTATAGTATAATTGGTAACAGATGCAATATAGGGCACAATGGTAAAAAATAAAACACCACACTGTCAGATAAAGCTTACAGTAGGTTTAGGATGTCGGAATATAGCTTATGGAAAGGTGTGCTGTCATAACGCAAAAATAAACAGTGTCGAGAACCAACCTGTCATATGACTATCATATGATTATGAAACCTCAAAGCTTGTTCACTCAAAACATCAGAGAAATAAATATGTCCTCAGGTAACTTTTCAAGTTAGTCGACTGAAGAATTTGTTCGTTTTTCCCCCCCCATTGCACACAGATGCCAGCATGCATCTGAAAATATGGCATCCACTTTCTTTGATGCTCTGTGTGTTTATCCAGAAGAACACAGAGCAACATTTTTATTGTGTTTCCATGAATTCTGTTTATGTGGTGAAAGAGAGGGAAATCAAATCCAAAGAATCAAGTTAAAAGCACATGAGTGACATGTAAACAGAGGTGGGAGAAGTACTCAGGTCTTGAACTTAAGTAAAAGTAGAAGTTACAGAGTGTAGGAATACTCGGTTACAACAAGTCCAATTCCTACATTCAAAATCTTGCTCAAGTAAAAGTACACAAGTAAGCATCAACATATAGTTAAAGTACCAAAAGTAAAATTTGTCCATTTCAGAATAATATATGATACGTTTTGATTATAATGGTTAATCATTAAAGTGTTCTCAAAGCTGGTAAAGGTGCAGCTAGTTTGAATGACTTTGTATACTGCAGGGCAGTTTGTGAGCTCCAGGTTTATCTGAAGTCTTTTTTTTATAGTTGTTTGTGTTTCACATTATTTATACTAATCTGCAAACTAACTAAAGGTAATAAATAAATAAATGTAGTAGAGTAAAATACACAATTTATCTCTGAATTGTAGTGGAGTAGCAGTACAAAGTAGCAACACGTGAAAATACTCAAGGAACTCAAAATGTTACTTTAGTACAGTAGGCTACTTGAGTAAATGTACTTAGTTAGTTCACTCCGCTGCATTTAAAACAGAGACGGAAACTTCACCTTGTGTACGTTATTTTGTTCTGCACGCTTTCAAATTTGCAAACCTTTTCCTCTGTCCACTTGCTGCTGTCTGTTCATCCTCTTTGTTGTCCTCCTCCTCCTCTCCAGGTTCCCCTTCCTCTCTTTTGACTCCTAAGTGATGGAGCGTCCTCTGCTGGGCCGAGGGTCCGCCCTGTGCTGCTCCTACAGCTCTCTGAAGGCCTGGCTGCCCCTCCTCTCCTGGGCGCCCCGGTACCGGCTGAAGTGGCTCCAGATGGACCTTCTGGCAGGCCTCACTGTGGGGCTGACCACCGTCCCTCAGGCGCTGGCCTACGCTGAAGTAGCCGGCCTTCCCGTGCAGGTGAATCCTAGCTGTGCTGTTTGTGAAGATTCATCCTTTAGATTCAACTCTCTCCAGATCTTAAGCCGGGCTGTTTTTAATCATAAAGTGGTTCAAATTGTCTTGTTCTGGTTTTCTTTAATTGTATCCATATAAACTTCCTTAAATGGGTTGCTTGTTTTCTTGGTGATTTAAGCAATCCCTCTTCTGGACTGCAAAGAGTGGAAATCATGGTGTATTTTATTTATCAATATCAATGTTTAAAATAATTTATTTATTTAGTAATCCTCAAGCCTAAACAATAAGTTGAATGAGAGAATATTAACCAGCATTTATATGGGAGTCAATCAATTGTCACCTTTGGAAAGCAAACATTTATTGTGTTAGTTAAACACATAAAAAGGCATTTGAAGATGTCAAAATGGGTTCTTGGAAAAAGATTCTGACATTTTATCGATGAAATAATTTATGAATGTATTGAGAAATAACTAGATTATAGGTACATTTCAAGACGTGTTTAAAGAAAACTACAAATACGTATTCTCTATTAATGGAAAATTACTGAATCTATGCAAATACTGTTCACTTCAAAAGTTTAAATGTTTCCATTTTAGGTCAATGGGATTTTTAAACCGTTATTAAACCAGGAAAGTCTCACTGAGATTAAAAATGTCTTTTGCAACCGAGTCCTGGCCAAGATATGCAGCTTTACAGTTATCCAACACAAATTAAAAAACAATGACATAGAACATTATCATAAAAAGCATCTAGAGACAAAGCTGTCTGCTTCTTGGGCTGCTTTTCAAGTTTCCACATCCCATAAATCGCATAATTAACCATGATTGGCTGCTAAAGTATTTGTGGTCAGAAAATCCTGCCTGTACGTTCACATCTTAAACTCAGATTCGGGGTGAGCATAGAGAGACTCTACCCCTCAGCAGCCGAATGTGGAAAAGAAGGGTTACAGTGTCAAACTCTGGTGAAGCAACAAGAGTAGAAACCAGATCTGAAAGCATTTCTCCCCACAGTACGGACTCTACTCTGCCTTCATGGGGGGGTTCGTCTACACCCTCCTGGGGACCTCTAAGGACGTGACACTGGGTCCCACAGCCATCATGTCCCTCCTGTGTTTCTCTGTGGTGGGGGGGCAGCCTCACCGCGCCGTGCTGCTCAGCCTCCTCTGTGGACTCATCCAGGCTGGAATGGCTTTACTGAGATTGGGTGATTAGTGATGGTCATGAGAAAACCTTATGACACCAGTTTTTGGAAAAGTTTATTTATCAAGTTAACACTCGAGAGACTTCTTTTACCAACATAAAATGGGAGCTTTTATCCACAATGAGACACATTGTTTTCACCTGATAGCAGTGCTAATTTAGCATTACATCTTTCAGTCTGTAAAATGAATGAGCTCTGTATCAAAATCTGATATTAGATCAAAGCAATATAAGAAAAAAAGTGTTGACTGCAGAGACTGTGAGGAAACAGGAGATATGTTTGTGAGTGCAGCGAGGCTACTTCCTACCACCACATCTATGACTTCCTCTGCCTAACCACACACATTTTCTCGGAAATCTGTAGATAAATCATACTTTATTTTATATATTTCTGGTTCTAAGTCAGTGTCATGCTTGTCTTATTAAGGTTTCCTGCTGGACTTCATCTCCTACCCTGTAATAAAAGGCTTCACTTGTGCTGCTGCGGTAACCATTGGCTTTGGCCAAGTCAAGGTGAGAGTTGAATACATCCAGACCCACAAACTAACAGGAAAAACTAAACATCATCAAATCAACCATGTACCAGCTACTCTACTTGTTAACAGGCCTGTCTCAATATCCTTTTAACGCTGTCTAGCTAAAGATACATATAACTGCTGCTTTTACATTTTTAAAGAGGCCCTATTTTGCTTTGTGGGGTTTTACCTTTCCTATAGTGTGTTATAGGTTTGTGCGCATGTAAATGGTCTGCAAAGGCTAAAATCTCAAAGTTCCCAGAGGGAATTTCTCCTTTAAAAGAGGAGAAACATTGTCTTTTAAAAGACTAATTTTAAAGGTCTTAAAAAGACCAATGTCACAGCAGGATTTGGAAAAACGTGTCCATGCTTTTATCTTCAGTAGACTCGACTACTGTAATGGTGTCTTTACAGGTCTCACTAAAAAATCTATTAGAAAGCTGCAGCTAATTCAGAACGCTGCTGCTCGAGTCCTCACTAACACTAAGAAAGTGGATCACATCACTCCTGTTCTGAAGTCTTTACATTGGCTTCCTGTGTGTCAAATAATAGATTTCAAAAATACTGCTGCTGGTTTATAAAGCTTTGATTGGTTCAGGTCCAAAATACATTTCTGACCTACTGCTAAATTATGAACCATCCAGATCTCTCAGGTCTTCAGGGACTGGTCAGAACTAAACAGGGTAAAGCAGCGTTCAGTTATTATGCTCCAAATATCTGGAACAAACTCCCAGAAACCTGGAGGTCCGCTGCAACTCTTACTACTTTTAAATCCAGGCTGAAGACTTTTCTTTTTGCCACTGCTTTTAATTGAACTATTCACATCTTAAACTGCACTGTAACTTTTATCCATGTATTTTTTTTTTTCTTTTTATATTTTTTTTATTATCTTTTCTTTTTAATGACTGATTTTAAATGCCAATATCTTAATGTCTTTCATTTTTTGTAAAGCACTTTGAATTGCCTTGTGTTGAAAGGTGCTATATAAATAAACTAGCCTTTCCTTGCCTTTGTTTGTTCAGGGGCTATAAATATAATGATTTTTTTATTTGAATGTGTTTTTTAAATCCAACAGTGTACTACAAAGATAATCAGATTATGAATAAACCGTTCTAAATTCATCAACATTGAAATAAATGTATTATTAAAATAATATTTAACTGTTATCAAAACTTAGTGCAACTGTAGAAGCTTGCTCTGTTCGGTTGTCTCACTGAAAGAATCACTTTTAACATTTTTTTTTAAAGTCAGTATGCAGAGACAAAGGGTCGTAGTTCTCACTATTTTCAACAATATTTGCCTTAAATACATTGAAATGTGAAAGTTGAACAAAAAAGT